TCCATCCAGATTCCTCGTCAAATATCTCGCGAAGAGCTGCTCCGCCGACTACCAGAATCATGGATCACCAGCTACGAGAAGCTGCATCAAGCGGTTCAAACACCGATTCAATCCTCTGAAGTCAGCTTTCATTCACGAAATGATGGTACAACCGAAATCAAGTTCAAAAAACCAAGATCATCCTCATTCCGCAAACAACTGTTCACTCAATTTGCTATCCAAATTGACGAAAGCGAATTCTATAGTCCAGCAAAAGAACAAAATCCTAAACCAATCTCTTTTGGACAAAACGGATCGGTACTATATCCTTTCAAAGATGAAGATGGACATCAATATTTCGATATCTGTTCCTGCTCAGCATGTGAAGAAACCAACTACGAATCTGATGACGAGATTCGCACAAGGAGAAGAAAGAAAAAGGATCCACTCTACAAAAGATATCTAGAAGGAGATCCCACCGTCGGTCCTCTCGGTGAAGGTAACGGGCGATACGACTTTATAGTCCAATATTCGGAAAAGAAAGATGAAAATCAAATCATGATGATCAACACCGAAGACTTCCCTCCTTCAAGCGACTTTACCAAGGACAACATCGCACATAGCCCGAAGATACTCACTCGAGCAATCAACTCTTCTGGACCAGATCAACTAAGCCAAGGAGAAAAGGTCCTCAACTGGCAAACTGAGAATGCCATCGCTCAAAATCAACTCCAGAAAACAATAAATTACAAGGTTGATCAGCTGACGGAAAATTACATCAAAAGGCAAACTAGCCTTTAGAGCTCAATAACAGAGATCCATGGCCGGCTTAATAATCTTCATCAAGAAATGATGGCTATGACACAAAATATGATGGTTAATACAGCGGAATTCCGTCATAAAGAAGCAGAAACAGCCAGTCTCAAAGCCCAGTTAAAAGATCTTCAAAGAAGCCTCGAGAGTATGATTTACAATCAGAATCCTGCGAGTTCTTATTCCAATCCTTTTGGTGGAATGCCTATGTACCAAGGCACCTACTCCCCAGGATTTCTCTCCGGCTATACGAATCAAAGACCAAAAACACCGGCCCCCGGATTCCTATCATCTGACGAAGCATTTACGTCAAGATATGGCATGACCCCAGCTAGCAAGCTAAAGGTGTCAAAATCAAAACCAAGACGACAGAAGGATTCCGAGTTTATGGTCAATCCTACCAAACGACCAACACTTACTTCTTCGTCAAGCCACGAATCAATGGAAGATTCAAAAAGAGAAGGAAAAGAAATCGGTATAATTGAATTCTCTATGGCTAGTCTGTTGGATACTATTGGACAGACTTCTACTGCTCAAACAGCCACGGAGATACCGCAAACACAGCCTTCTCAACAAATTGCAACA